AATATACTGCTCACCATCTATAGCCTATCATGTGTTGAAAAATGCTGTTTAACACAAAATCAAAGAAAGACAACAATAGCAACAGCTTTAATAGCTATTGCAAGAGCAGTGATTTCTTGATCTATGTGTGTAATGACCATAATATTTAGGTTTAACAGTAATCCTTTAAAACAAAATAGGGTGGGGGAGTGGAGCTAACTATACTGTATTATCTCAAAGGATGGATGGAAAGATGGATGGTCACAAACAATACTATTTATGTATGGATAAAAGACCAGTGTGGCAGCAATAAGATAACATGCCCCATGGACCTTACTAGAGAAAGAACCCTGGGGCATGAGAGGTACAAAGAAAAGGGGTGTGCATGATGATACTATATTCCAAAACATGAAGTAAATACTTCAAGTGTTACCAAAAACATAGCGATGGAAAAAAATTAAACCAAAATGTGTACCCACTATAATTCTAGGCCCACCTGGCCCTACCTGGGAACAGATTTGGTGCTACAAGTGGAGAATGTGGCAATGGTATATTCCAGATATGAAGTCAATTGAGTATGAAGTTGAAATATTAGTGATGAAAGGATGGATGGAGAAACAGATGGAAAAGGATTATTACATACCTCTTAGGCAGGGATAACTTCAACCAAAATATAGCCCAAATATAATTTTGGACTCCATTGCCATATAAGTAGGTCAAGTACTCGGAGAAGAGTGTGTCAAGATGTTTTAATAACCATAAAGTGAATTAGGTAAGTTTTTATGTTAATGTAAATGATGAAAAACTTGAACCAAAATGTTCATCAATAATAATGTTTAACCCACTGGACCTACCCAGTAACAGAGTGGTACTGATAAATGGAGAGTATGAGATAAGGAGAGGATGAACTACAAGTGTACACACATGTATGCATACAAGCATGCACAAACACTCATAGATAACCCCAAAGGCAAGATGCCCTATCTAAGAGATGAAAAGAATTTAGTTACTGCTTCAGTCTCAAGTGAGTGACAATGCTCAATCAAAGTCTATTAAAAATTAAATTTTCCCATATAGATCAAAGCAATGAACAATGATCAAGTAATACAGCCATGCATATGTATAGGGGGTAAGTATGGGTAATGCATATTTGATTATTCAAAACTAAGTAGGTACAATGTGTGGTTAAAGACTGTTCTTTTGCTAGCACTGAAGTGTGCAAAACTGATATCTGATTATCAATAAGTTTTATGTTTCATTAAGATGAACAAAATTTTCTTGTTGACACTTTTCAATCAGATGACATAAAAATGTTATTGCCCGAAAACATGCATATGCATAAATGTATTTTTGGACAGAATTTAGCAATTTTTTTTTTATTCTTGATCACATAAAGCAATATGAATATGGCCACTAACATTTGGTTTACAATACCTTACTTCATCAATGCTTACATTCAAAGTCAAAAGATTTTGGGCAATTCTTTTCATTTCATTCCTACCACTTGGTTTAAAGTTCTAATGAATAGCAATGAAATGTGAAGCAGACTGTGCTAGTAAAACTGCAGAATTACCAAGATCTGGGTGCATTTCAAGATGCTTCTGTAATGCAAAGATAAGATTCCAGCCCGGTAAGAATATGAGGATGGCTCCATCGATGTTCAGTGTCCTGATGTACTTGATTAAAGCCTGAAATGAAAAAAAAAAAAAAAAAATTTTAAATGAGGATAGAACATTTTTGAGCAGATGAAATATTTTACTATGCAAGATTGGTAAATTTGGTATGTAGGTCATCTAACAACATCAGCCTGATTTATCTTTTACAATTTCAAAAGCAAACATAATTCATATTTGAGACTATTTAGTTCTATCACAACCATAATGAAACCAGTACTTGTACATGCTTTAATAAATGCACAAATCCCACCTTTTTGGTTAAAACTCTCAAAAATATTTTTCCTTACTTAGCACATTTCTTGGTCCTGACATGCTAATTCAAAGGAAAGAAGCCCCTAAAACCTGCCTGAACAAGTTTTGTTGAGCTCACCACTGTCTGATGTCTTGCTACCTCTAACTTTATTGGATTAAATCAGCCTCCAAAAATAATCTTACAGATCATTTTATTCCGGATGACCACATTGGAAGAAACAATATAATAACAAAGTGGATCGCGTCCAAAACAAAGGGGGTTAACTCTTCTAGTATATACATGCATATAATGGGATTATTATTTATGTTTATGTTTATTATTTATAATGATCAACTTCATGAAATTTACCCATGTGCACAATAATGAACCAATAATAATCAGGTATACATTTCACTCAGACTTGTTCCAGCATTATGGCACCTTTTGTTTCCAGTCAAGAGACATCAAAGGTCTGACTAGATAGTTACAAATTTTTGTCCTTAGTTAAACAGAAACAAGATAGCTGAAATAGGTCTATATTCAACTATAGTTTACATATCAGAGTCTGCCATAGACAAGAGATGGACATACTTGTCCCCAGTCAGTCAACAAGACCAGGTTTCAGCTTAATTCCTTACCAATGCAATACAGCTTATAAATGACAAAACAAACTCCTGGTACAGCATATCATTTAAATGTTAATAAAGGCTATAACAGCTTGACCCATACCACAATTAACTCAACTAAGGCCTTTTTCAGTATGCATACCCCAAGCAACTCAACTAAGGCCTTTTTCAGTAAGCATACCTCAAGCAACTCAACTAAGGTCTTTTTCAGTATGCATACCTCAAGCTACTCAACTAAGGCCTTTTTCAGTATGCATACCTCAAGCAACTCAAACTAAGGCTTTTTTCAGTAACATATCTAAATAACTCAAATAACTAAATTGGGCCTTCTTCATGCATACATATATCTACCAACTCAATTAGGGCCATTTAGAGCACACATACCTCAATCAACTTGGGCCTTTTTGAATATGTGTACCTCAATCAACTTAAAAGATTAATAAAGGCTCTTATACCTCAACTAAAGCATTTTGAGTGTGTACTTCAATCAACTCAAATAGTGCCTTTTTGAGTTTTCATAACACACTCAACTAAGGTATTTTTGGGGTCATGCATACCTCAATCAACTCTAATGTATTTTTGGGGTCATGCATACCTCAATCAACTCTAATGTATTTTTGGGGTCATGCATATCTCAATCAACTCAACTAAGGTATTTTTGGGGGCATGCATACCTCAATCAACTCAACTAAGGTATTTTTGGGGGTATGCATACCTCAATCAACTCAAAGGACAATTCCTTCTCATTTAGCATGGCCATAGCTCTCTTGGTCTGCTCAGAGTACTCTGTGCTGATGATCATGTTGCAGTTCTCCTGCAATAAAAAGAAATGAATTACAATAAAAGTACCATCTTATATATGCACTTCCAATATGAATGGTCTCCCTTTATGATACATGTAGACAAACACACATACACACATACATACATACATGCATACATACATACATACATACATACATACATACATACATACATACATACACACACACACATCCTATGAAGCATTCAGAAACTGACACCACTATTTGAAGTATTTGATCAACTGAGTTAATCTATGTAAATAAAAAGTTTGTTAATTTTTCATGTTCAAATTGATATAATTACTTCAAAAACTGTTTTCTATTTCAATCAATCAGCACTTTTTTTTACGTTTCAATCTTTCTTTTATGCAACTGGTGTCCAAGATATTTGTGTCAAGTGAATGCATTAATTGCTCCCACTGTCTGATATTTCAATGCTTTTAATATTTTATTATAGCTTTCTCAGAGCACACTGTAAGCAAAATCTAAATGAACAACTCTGGAAACTTGGCCATTTTTAAAACTGACAATGACACTGATTATAAGACTAAGTAACTCTGGCTGTTGTTTTCATAATGGCTTTTTGTTACCATACATAATTACTTCTAAATCAGATCCAAATGTATAATGTATATTACACTAGCAGTTACTGAACCATGCAGTTTGTTAGTGCTAACAAACAACACAGACTGTTCTGCTAGAACAGTATGTGACAAAAGATCAGGGTCTATGCTGTCATTAAATCTGTTGAAACCATTTGAGTTAAGAGCCTGATTCTGTGCCAAACATCAAAAAACTCCATGTGCAGCCTGAAAATGCCTTATGTTGATATATCCTAATTCTAGTGGCAGATAATGCAAACAACAGATTATTTCCATACAGATGACCATCAGTCAAAGGCTTTTTGCATGTGTGCATACATTAAAAAGGCTGCTTTGCTTGCATGTGTGTGTAGGTGTATATATATATATATATATATATATATATATATATATATATATATATATATATATATATATATATATATATACACACACACACACACACACATTCCTTCTTTACATTTACTTAGCAAGGGTTTTCTTTCAAATATACCCAAGCAACATATCTTCGAAAGATTTATCATATGTGGTCAAATATTCAATTTACAAGAGTACATGAGAAGAGCACTCAAGAATCTTGAATTTGAATAACAAGGCTAAATCTGCCATGAATCTTGAATTTGAATGACAAGGCTAAATCAATTAAGAATCTTGAATTTGAATAACAAGGCTAAATCTGTCACATTTGACTCCAAAATGTGTCAGACCTTGTAAGAATTTATCACATTATAAATCAACTGGCAAGAAAATCCAAATCCCAAGACATTACTTCTTGCTCCTCTCCTTCAAGCTCTTCCTTCTCCTTTTTCTTCTTCTTGTCTGATGGTGGAGGAATGAAATTTACCATCTGAATACAGTCTTCAAGGTAGTATTCTGTAAGAAACAACAATCTTTACAGTCTGCAGTAACTATGTTGACCATTTAAATGGCTTTGTAAATATATAATTCAAGGACTCTCAAAGCCTCACACAGTTACTACATTTTTTTGTTTTCAAAGGCTTTGTAAGAATACAATTTAAGGACTCTGAAAGATTCACACAGTAATTGTGTTGACTGATTTGAATCACAAAGCAAATTGACACAGTTTTTTCTGGGTGGTTATCAAACCCAAGGCCCTCAAATTATGAGTCTGATGCTTTACCATCTGAGCTAGTGCTGGTCACCTAAATTACAGTCATTAAAGAAATGAAGTCTTTTTTGTCATAAGTTTTGATATACACACACCTATGAAAGAACAAATTATGGATCAAACATTTGTTTTCCTGGCCTGCACAAAAATAAAGAATCTGTACATTAACAAATATTTTATCTTAATAATCAGTGTTGGTATGTGAAACTAAATGCTGAACAAATATACAAGCTAAAATGTGACCTTCTGTTAACATTCCAACACTTTTTAAAAAGCTAATTTTGAAATATTTTCAAGGAAATAAAATGTAGCAAATCCCCCATCCAGATAATACAAAGGAGCAACTGTCATTTTAAGCCTCTACACTGTAACCCCAATGTCCACCTCATAAGAATTAAAGCTTTCTCTCTTGCTATTTTAAGTCCCTTCCTACTTCATCCTGCCCTTACCTATAAGCAGATACAAAATGCTATGTGCAGAACACAAATGTCCACCACTCTCACAACTACTTTTGTCCAATTCAGGTCAATCATGTATAAGCTACTGACCAGGAGATTGTAGCTTCTGCATGATCACCACCACCCATCTTGCAATAAGTCACTATCTCACACTCCAACCAAGCATCTTTCACCTAGTCGGACAGTATTTGCTAAGATAAGGTGAAGAATGGAAGGGATAAACAAAATCTGAAGCTCTTTACAAAACAACTTGGATCACCCTATCATCATTGAGAGTGAAAATGTTGGAGATTGCTGCCCACTGGCAGGCTGTCTATGCATGTACATTTCAGGCATTTTCCCCACTTCTCTGGGTCTCTCTTAGTAAACTAGGGCTGAGTGCAAAGGTCACCTGTTTCTTGATCTCTGTGTTGCTGGATAGGTTGGAAGATAACAATTGCAATTGTAATGGTCACTTACAACATCGATATTAGTGAATCTCTTCTCATGTGCTTACATTTCAGATAGATATGCAACTTGAAAGTGGGAGTGGTGATACAGCCATTGTGACAAGCCAATCAAGAAAACTATCACAATGTTGTATGTATGATGGATAGATTCCAATCACTATGTGCAGAGAAAGATCTAGATATTCCTAGGGCTGTAATATCTCTATTAAAAACTTAGACATTGGTGTAAAAACCAGCATGTCCTACAGAAAGCCTGATTAAAGTTTGATCTGTTAAAGATCTATTAAATAAAGCTGGTTTTTACTGGTTAAGAGACTGATGAATGCAGGAATTCCTTAAGTGGCAAGACTAGGACAAAGAAAGACTTATTCAATTGATACACAAAAGGCTGAGTTTTCTCTTAATTAGAAGAAAAATGTTGCTAGTAAGCATGTGTCTTTGAACTTAGTATGTGGGGTAACAAAATAACCTCATAGGAGTGAACTGGTTGTTGAGGATGGTGACTGTGTCTCACATTGATCTTCAGGCATTTACCACAAGTATCATCAAAGTTGCAAGACTGGTGTTGGTTATTCAGTAATAGGAAGCTGGTGATGGGTCATAGCGAATATGGGACCAATGATGGACCTGTCCTATGAGACCAATCAAGGATTGTGTGGTAGGCTTGTACATAAAATCGGGTGCCGATTTTGCTGTGGGAGGGGTATTCAACAAAACGTGTGGAAAGTAGCATGGCCATGTGCCACAAGCTGCTTGTATCTTGGGTCTAGCACTGGGAATGCTGTGAAAATATATTGGTGCCAAATCCTGTTAGTAGAAGACATTAACAGAGGCTGTTTCAAAGTGGATCTGGTCTGGAGTGGCTGATGTCTCAGTTGCACAGGGTGATAACATTTCCTGCACTGACCTAAGTTGACACTGTATCATACTGGTGTTCACCAAGTAGTCTGTGCTGTGATGGAATGCTTAGGCTTTCTCACTGTGGGTGACAATAAGACTATAACTTTATAGTGAGGATTTTCTTAACATTTTCTGAATGGATGATCTTCTTGGTTATGATGAACTTTGAATCAAAGTCTGCATCAATGGCAATACAAATGGCATCCTTGTGTTTCTTCTTTCTCTCATTAAAATGGTCACCCATCCATTTCTAAACCAATAAGAACAAATGTTGCAAGTATGGTTCAAATGGTCCTTTATTTAATTTATGAAGGTGGTGTGATTATTCTTAGCATGGCTGTGTTGTTGTGTTGTTGATAACTGTGTGACAGGGTAAAACATAATGGGACCAGGGCTTACATACATGTTTTAGGAGTATTGTTGAAACAGGATTCAAGTTATTGAAACATGAAAATAAAATGAATAAACAAATGAATACATAAATGAACAAAACATTAATGAAAAGGCAAATCCAAAAATTAACAAAACATCAATGAAAATGCAAATGTTATATATCTCCACTGATCTTCATTGGGGAGGGGATAACCAATATTTTGGTTAATTATGTAGTAATATTGCTAACGAGTAGGAAATGGTTATCAGAACTCCATCCATTCTGGCATTTGAAACAGCAACACAAACCTTGTACTGGATATGTTCTTCCATACACCTCAACCACTGGAGCATTATTGAAGTAATCTGAGAACAGAGTTGTGTCCACTGTTGCAGACATCAGTATTACACGGAAGTCGGGATATGTGCGGATCATGTCTCTTAACATCACCATCAGGAAATCAGTCTAGTATGAAACAAGAAAATTTATTACTTGCATTTTATCATGCCTACTGACAGCATGGAAACAAAGAGCTATTATTGCATAGTTACTATAAATAGCTAAATAAACAGAGATAATAGTAACAACAAATCTATGGTTACTGTATTGTGGATAAGAACTGCTGAAACAGTAGGCATGGGAACAATTAAAATACTAAATTGTTAACCAAACCAACAGCATGGAAACAATGAACCAACTGTTGTTGTGTATTGGTTGTGAACTGCTAACCAAACACTGGAACCAGGACAATAATTGTTGCTTCATAACTGAGTTGAGCCAAAATGAACTGCTAACCAATCACATTATTCACTGAAAGTAAGGAGATCTTCTTTATTACTTAAGTAGAGTTAACATTCTTTTAATAGTCATAATTCTGGACTTAAATTAAGGAAAGAGTACCATGAACGACACATCCATCACTGTTTAAAACTCAATACAACAGCTTTCTTCCTTGACCAAAGTGCAAGCCATGTATTTTAAGTAGAACTAATGCTACTGTGCAAAAACCATTTTTAAAAAATTCTACCTGAACATGACCCAACTGACTCCAAAATTATTACAGTTCCTTCCAGTCCAAGCACTATTTACAAGGTTTAGGAACAATACATGATGGAAATCTCATGCTAAGGTTTTAAAACCATTTGTCTTCCTTCAGTCAGTGAACATGACTCCAAGTGCAAGCCAATCCATAAAGTCTGATAAGTGGCACAATAAAATCCCTCAGTGTAGGCTATTTAGTGTCAAGGAAATTGGAATTAATGACTCTGCCCAAGGACACACTGCCATAACTGATCTGAACCAGCATCAGTTTAATCACAAGTCTGGCATGTGCTTCGTCTTGGAAGTTTTCAAGAGTTTCATTTAACTAAGGCAAAATTATACTGGAACAGTGAAAACTATAATACAGAATATATATTCTACTAATCCAAATTAATTTTCACACAAACTTCTCATTATTATTACATCCTTATAGAACTTAAAATGTGCATAAATTTTTATTTGTTTAAAAAATTTACCTGTATAAATTATGTTTCCTCTCTTCTATAAACTTACATCTCATCCACAATAATAGGGGTAAATCCACTCATTCCACTCTAAAGTTCTTAAATTATATCTATCCTTTACAAACTTACATTGAGATCTCTTTCATGGATCTCATCCACAATAACATGGGAAACTCCCCTCATTCCACTCTCCAGTCTCCTCAGGAGAGTACCTGTCAAGAAATGAAATTATGTCATCTCTAAAATTATTTCTTCATAAGCTCTTTAAACTTTCAATTTCAGTAGCAACAGATGAATACTATAATTGCATATCTTTCCAAGCGAACTTACCAAAAGTGTGCTAGCATTTACTTACACGGACAGTTCCCAGATACATATTTTAATGATTTGACTATATGGATGATAAATGGAAACTGTAAAAGATGGCGAAGTAAACATTTTTTGCTGTTGTTGTTGTATAGTTTAATGCAATTTTTCAGCACAAGATAGGCTATACATGGCAGCCAGTATTACTGGTGGAGGAAGAACATTGGAAAACCCAGGGAAGAACCACCGACCCATGAGAAGCTACAGGTAGGCTTTCTCACTTACCCACATTAGCCGAGTCTGGACTCGAACTCACGCAGACAGAGGTGAGATGGCAGTGATCCGTAATGGTCAGCACTTTAGACCACTCGGGGCCCCACATTTTTTGCAAAAAAAAACCCTTCATCAAAACTTCTCTTCACATTTACTATACAAATGAAGCATATCAACCAAAATAAATCATAACACTCATGATCAACAAATCTTCTGATCTAATTATATAGAGTTCAGTTTATGATGTGATTATATGGAATATTTTTTTCTCAGAAAATCAATTTGAAATGAAAGAGCAAATTCAATGAATTTATATCCACTGCTTAGAGCAGGGGTCTCATTCTCGAACCACAGTGAGGGCAACACAAGACTTAGTACATTGGCCAAAGGGCTACATCAGTGAAACATTTTCACACAGTGAAACATTTTCAAAAATGAAACATTTTCCTGCAGTGAAATTGGCTCATATAAAAGGTAGCCAGCTGAAATGTTGGAAACAAGAAGTAAACAATGTAACAATCAAGTTTTTATCAAGAAAGCATCTGCATCATTATTTTAAAAATTCTGGGTGTCAATGTGGTCCATAGGAAATAACTCCATGAACCACATGTGGCCCATGGGACACGTGTTTGAGACACCTGGCCTAGATTTGTTGAGGAAACATAATGGTGTCAGTATTCTGATTGGTGACCCAAACTGTGATGCCTGATATTCTACCAGGTTTCACAGCTTTATATTAAACAGCTTTATTGTTAAATGGAAA